AAAATAGAAAAATAGTCTAGAAAACAAATTTTTGAGTTCAGGAATTTATTATGTGTAATGAAGGAATTAACACCCTACAACGTTCATTGTAAAGACGAGTACTTCTAAATAATATTTAAACAAATTATTTTTAACTTTTAAAATATTTATCTTACACCAAATTAATAAAATTAATTATGACAATCAAATGCATTTTATTTAACAAGTGTGTATATTTTATTTGAATGAAAATCAAAATTATTATTATGATTTTATTGTTATAAAAAAAAGAGAGAGATAACATTATTTTTTTATTATCTTTTTTATGAATGATTTCCTACTCCTAAGTATTTCTTTTGTAAAAAATATTTGTGAGTATTTTCTTTATTAAATTTTACTTTTATTAAATATAAATTATTTTGAACTGTCACAACTTATACTTCTTAAATTATAAAATTAATTAAAAGTGTAACGACTCGCCATGGTCTATACACTTAGTGGAATCGCACTACTACTAGTGAACTAAGAGAAATATTAAAAATTAGACAATTCATACATATAGACATATATATAGAATAAAATAACTAAGTTTCTATGTACAAAATATAACATCATATATGTACAGTCATCCAAAATAACATCAACCTAGTGTCGGTCAAGCACAACCAACAACTACCTAAGAAGGTAATTCTGACACTAGGACCAAACTCCTCAACTCGTAGCGATCACCTCAACTCCAAGCTAGCCCTGACCTGCTCACATATAAAGTATGATCATCACAGTCCAACCACATGGAAAATAGAAGGGTAAACTAGAGTTCAAAAAGCAATCATACAAGTACAGAATGAAATCCATACTACACATGCATCCAAATCAAGTCCCAAAGGAACTTCCATCTCAATTAATCATTCATTCATCAAACATGAAGTCAAACACCATACACTTCATCATCATAACAATCATGCAATAACATGCAACTCATGACAGATATCAATACATATCAATCATCTAATGCGTCGTCACGCATACCCTTAGGAGATCTCCCTAATAGTAGAGTAGTATAAGTGACATCCCAATCCTACCGAAACCACTCCAACCATTTTCACGCTCAATGCACCCGCTCGGTCACGAATAGGATATAAATCCTCACTCGGGTTTACTCGGAAGATGTCATTTACACAATTGGAAGTTCGGTTCCACCGTCAGGTATAGCACAACTGGGTACATGCTTACCACGACCTTGACATGCATTACCAAGTCACTTGTGGAGTTCACCCACCGACTATCTGCAAGGAACTACGCACCTTCCCCAGTACTTGGTTAAGGGTATAACCCTCGACCTCATACTCCGCTCTAACACTAGCTAAGGACTTAGAAGAGACTCACCCAAACCAGTGGCCTACTGGAGCACCACTCTCACCCAAAACTAGTGGCCTACCTAAGCACCACTCTTATAATCAGTGGCCTATCCAAGCACCACTCTCAAGAGACTCTATGTGAGCTCTTCCAGTTCGAAACCATTTTCCCTCTCCTCAAGTCCTAGGTTAGACACATGGCATAAGGCATCACATGAAATAATGCATCATACATCATACATGGTCTATCCACCATCATGATCAATATCATCCTCATATGAACATATACTGATGGAACAAACTTGAAGGAGATTGAAGTTCTTCAAGTTGCACCGTCCAATGATCTTTTCACTCTTGAGGAGTCACGTTGAGAAGCTTGAATTCACCTTGAAGAAACTCAAATGGTGAAGGAATCAATGAAGAGGTTCGGCCACTTCAATGGAGGTTGAGAAGCTTGAGGAACCAAATGCAAAGGTTAAAGAACCTTTGAGGGAAACCTAGAGAGAAAGTTCTCTACGGTTTTAGGACTCTTGAGTTGAGAGAGAATTCTGAATTCTATTTCTCAAAATGTTCAAAAGTGAGCTACAATGAAGGAATTACAAATATATAGGAAGAGGTAGCTTAGAGAGCAAGCTAACCTTAACCATGGTTCACTAGGAACCATGGTAAGGTCAAGCCTAACCGTCCATGGTTTGTAAAGCTTGGAGAGAAAGCTAACCTTAACCATGGTTCACTAGGAACCATGGTAAGGTCATCCTAACTATCCATTAAGGTTTTAGAAACTTAGAGAGCAAGCTTCTAAGCTTGAAAAGAGTGAGTGAGAAATTTCGGCCAAATGAGAAGAAGGAAGCTAGGCGGCCAAGCATCATTTTGCTCACTTGATTTATTTCAAAAATGTTTGATTTGGTTTAGTTAGGTTCATCCTATGATGATGAGACCTAGCTAAATCAAATCTATGAAAAATTAGGAGCAAAATGAGTCTAATATGTAAAATTTTGTCTAGGCCCATCTTTGGCCCAATTTCTAATCACACTCCCAAGCATTGCTAAATGCCACCCCTTTTTCCTTACTGAAAAGTTAGAAAATGAGTGTATCAACAAAGGAGGTTAAACGGAGTTAAACTCTCCAAGTAACCCACGCCCTAAAATCAATATACAATCACTAGTAAAAGCAAGTAAAATGCCTCAAAAATACAAAGAAAAAAATAAGCCTATAAAAGAAACTATGTACAATTTATAAACAATTAGAACTAGGCCTTCTCTTCATGATAGAGTACCCCAAGTGAAGAGTACCTTGGGCTTAGAAAGCCCACTAGTCTTCAAGTTGTCCAACTCTTCTTGTATGCGCCTGGCCATAACTCTAATAACTAGACTCTTGGCCCATGGTTATCATATACACATGTCACACTACAACATTTGTTAAATATGACAACAATAAAAAATCATTGTTGAAAGCCAAAAAACCGTTTTAGGGAACGGTTTTTCAAGCGTGGATTTATCAACCGTTGCCTATTTCAATATGCAACGGTTTTTTGGCCTATGCTCACGATGTCAAAAAAATCGTTACCTAAACTTCCAAGAACGGTTTTCATGATCTTCATTGGCAACGTTTTTTTTAATTTAAGGCAACAAACTGAGAAGAAGAAGAAGTATTCTCCAAAGCTCGACTCTTGGACTTCAATCCTCCAAAACCAAGCTTTCTAGTCTAAAATTCAAGAGAAGACAGAAGACATTAGTGATCTAGAGGAGAAGAAGAATCATACAGAGAAATTCGGGAGAGAAAGGAGCTCACAGACCCAGAGTCCTTCTCTCTAAAACTTCTCTCTAAGTTTCTTTGAGAATGAACTTATGAAGTTCCCTTCTCAGAGAAACCCTTATATACTCTTCTCCCTAGAGTCAACTAAACTTTGAAATCTACTCACTACGTTACACTGTACACCAAAATCAATTTATTAAAATATTTTAATTGATTATTTGTAAAATTTTTATTTGTCTCAAAGAAAATATATAAGACATTAAACCATCAACTTGCTTTAAGGTGTCATATCTGAACATTTTTTTAATATAAATTTTGTTCTAATCGAATTAAGTATTTACTAAATATTATATTATTATTTTCATTGCATATATAATTTTATAATTTTAATTTAGAAATGAGATAAAGATAACAAATTGTTACAACATATATCCTTATTTTCCGTTTAAATATTATTATTTAATTGATTTTAAATTATTTGTTTTCCTTATTATGAAAGTTGATTTTAATTAAAACTTCTAATTCATAGAATATATTATTTTTAAGGATCAAAGGACTTTCAAGTAACCACAACTTATATCTCAAGAAATTGTAAAAATATCAAATTTAATCAACTTTTGTTTTATATTTAAAAATTAATTAAGTTTTAATTATAAAACTTAATTTTGAATGATTATATATTATTTTAAAATAATCAAATTGTCCAACCTGTTCTAAATATTTTAAAAGCCAAGAGATTTTTTTAATCCCATCAACCCGTATTTCTTGAGATTTATGTTATTATTATTATTATATAAATTTTAACAAATGAAATTAAGTTACATAATTTTATTTTAATTTTATAATTATTATTATCCGTGTCAGAAGAAATTTTAGTGTTAATTTAAATTTTCACCTGTGATTTAATCTCTTTTTAGTGGTATGTACACATAAAACAAAATAACTAACATATTTAATGAAATGACAAAAAAAAAATACATACATATATATAGAGAGAGGTAACTTTTATTAAGTATTAAACCGCTCAATAATTTTATATTAAATATAAATTTTGTAAATCCAACCGTTAGATTGAAAGTTCATATCACTTTATATGTGTATATCGAATGTTGTTAAAATTGAACAACAACTTAAAGGTAATTAAAGTGTTTGTATTTTAGTATATTTTGAAATGAATATATTAAGTCAATTTCGTTTTATAATAATGATGTATCAAATCATCTTGGATTAATATAAACTTTTGTATATATGATTTAAGAGTAAAGAACTTTCAATCTAACGGTTAGATTTACAAAATTCATATTTAATATAAAATTATTGAGTAGTGTAATACTTAGTAAAAGTTATACCGGTGTAATTATAATCCCCTCTCCTATATATATATATATATATATATATATATTAAAATCACGTGGGTTTTGCATGTACCGGAAGTGGACATTTTATGTACTTTATCTACCCAACTCTAACAAAAGCAAATATAATAAAGAACAAAAGAAGGTACCAGGGACTTTGCATCAACGTTTGTGTCAAGCAACAACCATTGATTTCAAGAAAAGCATCCAATGGCTTCCCATACAACGCAAGGCTTAAGAGGCTACAACACACTTGCTGTAGAACAAAAAACGAGAAAGAAAAGAAAAGAGTGCTTCTAGGATGAAGTTATATATATATATATATTAAATTTTACTTTATCCTGTGAAATCATATATATGTAATACGTACCTATAATTATAATACAAATAGCATATTAAACAACTCATATTAATAAGAAGTACTATACATTATTTTGGATTGATAATCCTCTTGTACATCCTCTTCTTCAAGAAGACGTTTCTTATGTGATCAATAAAGAATTGATTTCACCCTCAAAAAATAATAAAATAAATTATAAAATGAAATCCAAACACATGTAAAATTCACTTGCATTAATTAGTTACAAGTATATGACAATTCAAAAGCATAAAACTCTAAATAAAATTATCCAAAGATGTCAAAGTTTACATAAAAATTCTAAATTTCAATAAAAAGTGTTATCTAGGAATATTATGCATAGCTAGTCATCTATCCATGTAAGTAACATCATTCAGTCTCTTCATCATCATAAGGCTGATCTTCATTATCAAGTCTTTCCTGCATATAAATATATATTTTTCACTTAGAAAACTTATAGAATTAATCCCCAATCAATCTCCAACAATTAACATAACTCCTTTGCTTTGTTTATTCTACCCAATACCTTTTCACGCTTAATTTGAAATCTCCTAAGTAATTCAACACTTGATTTCACTTCACCTTCAAAATTGAAGATATCTTTTTCACGCCTGTCTGTAGTACTCATCTTTTACTTTAAAATTCCTTCCTTCTGCATTTTGTACCTACAAAATGAAAAATATAATTATTGGATAGTACTGCTTGCTGTAATAGATTACACATTCACTCTTAGACACCAAACAATAACTTCTGCAAAACATGAGTTATAGAGCTTCACATAGCATGGGATCAGATTCATTAGAAAGATAAGACACTAGCCTACTTATGATTAAAATTTTATAATTTTAGAGTTTGACATGTAGTACCAGTTTTTATTTTAAAACAGTTTAGTCCTTGTTGTAACAAATTACACATCCTCTCTTAGACACCAAACAATAACTACTGCATAACTTGAGTTCTAGACCTCTAAATAGCATGGGGTTAATTTTTTTAGAAAGCTAAGACACTAAGCTTCTCATAATTTAAAATTTAGAATTGTATAGTTTGACATGCAGTACCAGTTTTTATTTTAAAATAGGTCAATCCTTGTTGTAACAGAGTACACATCCTCTCTTAGACACTAAACAGTAACTACTGCATATCTTGAGCTTTAGATCTCCAAATAGCATGGGGTTAATTTTGTTAGAAAGCTAAGACACTAATCTTTTCATAATTAAAATTTTAAAATTTTATAGTTTTACATGAAATACCAGTTTTTATATTAAAATAGGTCAATCCTTGCTGTAACAGATTTCACATTCAATCTTGGATACCAAATAGTAACTACTACATAACTTGAGCTCTAGACCTCTAAATAGCATGGGGTTAATTTTTTTAGAAAGATAAGACACTAAACTTCTCATAATTTAAATTTTAGAATTTTATAGTTTGACATGCAGTAGCAATTTTTATTTTAAAACAGGTCAATCCTTGCTGTAAGAGAGTACACATCCTCTCTTAGACACCAAACAATAACTACTGCATATCTTGAGTTGTAGATCTCCAAATAGCATGGGGTTAATTTTTTTAGAAAGCTAAGACACTAAGATTTTCATAATAAAAATTTTAAAATTTTATAGTTTGACATGCAGTACCAGTTTTTATTTTAAAATAGGTCAATCCTTGCTGTAACAGATTTCACATTCAATCTTGGATACCAAATAGTAACTACTGCATAACTTGAGCTCTAGACTTCTAAATAGCATGAGGTTAATTTTGTTAGAAAGCTAAGACACTAAGCTTCTCATAATTTAAATTTTAGAATTTTTAGTTTGACATGCAGTACCAGTTTTTATTTTTAAACAAGTCAATCCATGCTGTAATAGAGTACACATCCTGTCTTAGACACCAAACAGTAACTACTACATATCTTGAGCTGTAGATCTCCAAATAGCATGGGGTTAATTTTGTTAGAAAGCTAAGACACTAAGCTTTTCATAATTAAAATTTTAAAATTTTATAGCTTGACATGAAGTACCAGTTTTTATATTTGGGAATCATTAAGAATTCAGACATGTGTCCTTCACCTGAACTTTCTTTTTGCCCTCCTATCTATTTCTTCTCCAATTTTCTATTAAACCAGATTCTGCAAACTGCTTTCTGTGCTGGTTGTAGTTGTTCTTCAGATACTCCTATCCTTCCCCAAGGTGCACCATTGTCTAGGATAGAATGTATTGGCAAGGACAAACATTTATTTTCAAAATTTACAGCATTATATATTAGCATGCAATGGACCAGGGTACATTAATATATTATATAAAGATAACGAGGAAGAAACCTATTTGTTTCACAGGCATGTTAGTGGTTTGGGGATTGATACTCATGCAATGGACCATTAATATTGAATGTAGTATATAATTGTTATTTGCTAAAAAAAATAACAAAAAAAGATTCCAGCCAAAACTTGAAACAATTAATGAATTATTTCATCTACCATAACCATATCACTCAAGACCAAAATTCAGACAATCACCTCTTTGTCAACAACTAAGGTAGAAAATACAACGGAAGCATTCTCTTCAGATCCAAAATCTATTTCCATGTCACTGCAATCGTCATTCCATTTTCAATCACACATTTACACATTTGTTAATACCAATTTCAAACACAAGGAAAACCTCAGAATTTCCAAATCAAGTTTTTCTCATAGCAGTGAATCTTTCAAATACAGGAAATTTGCACGCAATTGATACACATGCACCAGATCAGATGATAAGTATAAAAATGCTATTTATTTTACTAACGATACTTAACTGATTAATTCAAAAACTTGAGATTTTGATTGTATCTAATTCAACATAATGAGTTCCAGGCCTAAACAGGAATTGGACCAATTGTTGGATTTAGGCACAATGGATAAGGAAGCCTATTATTTGGGTTTTATTCCAAAAGGTAACAAAAGGGAAGAATGGAGGGGAATTTCTTATGCTGACTAGACAAATTGGTTAGTAAATTAACAGGAATATTGGGAGAAGTGTATGACAAAAGCATGCTTGGGTAATCAGTTTGACAGAGAAGAGTTTTCTGCAAGTAGCCAAGGGCTCGATTGTCTCTTTTGCAAGAGCTTTGTCTTAGTACCTTTCTGGAATTGAATAACACTCACAATAGTTTTTGTTCCTGGTGTTCTATCAGTTACAGAGTCCTAATTCTATGATTACATAAGTAGCCAAAGAACTAGGATACACAATGAGTGATACGGAACCCTCTCACATACCCAAACGGAACCCATAATCCATAATCGCACCGAACCCATAACCATACAGCCATAGACCTATAATCGTAAACACATACGTACACTTGTGAACGCCATAACCCACACACTCAACGCACAACATCACATAATCTACAACCTCACGGAATGAGAGTGATAATGAGAACAACAATCACGCACGTAGAGAAACAAATAAAAGGTTAGAATCATACATGAGAGAAATGCATAGAGAGGAACGTGATGAGAAAGATGCAGAGAGGAACGTAGAGAGGAAAGCACAGAGAGAAGCAAGCATACGAAATGAGAAAATTTTAGGGATTCTAATTTTTGTTTTAAAGAGACGAGAAGTCTTGTGATTTTGGGAATTAAAGAGAGGGAGAAGTTTAATTTTTTAATTAATATTTCCCACGAATAAAAAAGGCGGATATATATAATCATTAAGCAACGTTTACAAGTGTTGCCTATTAACTACAAAGAAATAAACTTTTCATTTAAATAATAAACATGGTTAATAATATATTTTGGGAAATTTTTTATTGTGTTGCATGATATAAAATAAGCAATAATTTATAAATTTTTGCCTAATATCAATTTTAAGAACGATTTTTAAACTGTTGGGCTAGAGAAGTGGCCACGATTAGAAATTTGTTGCTTGTTTCATATTTCAAAAACTGTTTTGTAAATATTGAATAGAGAATAGTACACGCTTTGATCAAGTGTTGCCTATATGTACTTTTGGGAACGATTTTATGATTGTTGTCAAACAAAGTGTCAACAGTTTACAAAAATGTTGCCTATTCCATATTTCGAGAATATTTTTTAGGCGTTGCCTAATTTAAAAAATGTTGTAGTGATATCATATTCAAACATTCATATATATCATTACCAAGCATACATATATATGAATCATTCTCTACCATACATCATATATCATACATATATGAACCAACTATACATTAACAACTTAACACATCAAAACAACATGTATCTCCCTTCGACAACTATCAAAGAAAACAACATCCAAAGAGTTATACTCATCCAAATAAGCCCAAACCTATCTCAAAAGAAAGATAAGGGGATTTATTACAACTCTTACTAAGACATCAAGTCCTAATTCCATCATCTACTTTGTCAAAACTTACAAAAACTGCAACAACTATAACTAATGCTGACAACTTGGCCCCTGTTCACTAAAACAACCATATTTAGAGTTCTAGACCTCTTTTTTAGATAATTCCAACGCCATTCGAAAGCTAAGATCCAAGGCTACACTCACGCCCGGCACTGCCAGCTTGTGCCTAGCATGAATTCATCTAGAAACTGCTTTTGATGAATACAAGCCCGACGCAAATAATATGCACCTGGCACAAATTCATACAACAGCCCCAAAACTTCAAAAATTTCGTCCAAAACCTAAAAAACAGCAAATCCAGTCACATGCAAACCAAGAAACACAATGCATAGACTCCATACAACTAAAAAACAACCTCAGATTCAACATGCACCCACCCGATGCATCAAAATCACCAAAAACCTCATTTTTCCCAAACCCCGAAAAATGAGAATTTCCTCCAATCCAGCCATGGATTCTTCAATTTCATGTATCAATTGAGTTCCTAAACTCACATGCAACCAAACAACATACATTCTAGCTTCCCTCACCTAAAAATTGGCTCAAAATAGCCAAGAACTGAGAAGAAGAAGAAGTATTCTCCAAAGCTCGACTCTTGGACTTCAATCCTCCAAAACCAAGCTTTCTAGTCTAAAATTCAAGAGAAGACAGAAGACATTAGTGATCTAGAGGAGAAGAAGAATCATACAGAGAAATTCGGGAGAGAAAGGAGCTCACAGACCCAGAGTCCTTCTCTCTAAAACTTCTCTCTAAGTTTCTTTGAGAATGAACTTATGAAGTTCCCTTCTCAGAGAAACCCTTATATACTCTTCTCCCTAGAGTCAACTAAACTTTGAAATCTACTCACTACGTTACACTGTACACCAAAATCAATTTATTAAAATATTTTAATTGATTATTTGTAAAATTTTTATTTGTCTCAAAGAAAATATATAAGACATTAAACCATCAACTTGCTTTAAGGTGTCATATCTGAACATTTTTTTAATATAAATTTTGTTCTAATCGAATTAAGTATTTACTAAATATTATATTATTATTTTCATTGCATATATAATTTTATAATTTTAATTTAGAAATGAGATAAAGATAACAAATTGTTACAACATATATCCTTATTTTCCGTTTAAATATTATTATTTAATTGATTTTAAATTATTTGTTTTCCTTATTATGAAAGTTGATTTTAATTAAAACTTCTAATTCATAGAATATATTATTTTTAAGGATCAAAGGACTTTCAAGTAACCACAACTTATATCTCAAGAAATTGTAAAAATATCAAATTTAATCAACTTTTGTTTTATATTTAAAAATTAATTAAGTTTTAATTATAAAACTTAATTTTGAATGATTATATATTATTTTAAAATAATCAAATTGTCCAACCTGTTCTAAATATTTTAAAAGCCAAGAGATTTTTTTAATCCCATCAACCCGTATTTCTTGAGATTTATGTTATTATTATTATTATATAAATTTTAACAAATGAAATTAAGTTACATAATTTTATTTTAATTTTATAATTATTATTATCCGTGTCAGAAGAAATTTTAGTGTTAATTTAAATTTTCACCTGTGATTTAATCTCTTTTTAGTGGTATGTACACATAAAACAAAATAACTAACATATTTAATGAAATGACAAAAAAAAAATACATACATATATATAGAGAGAGGTAACTTTTATTAAGTATTAAACCGCTCAATAATTTTATATTAAATATAAATTTTGTAAATCCAACCGTTAGATTGAAAGTTCATATCACTTTATATGTGTATATCGAATCTCTTCTCCCTAGAGTCAACTAAACTTTGAAATCTACTCACTACGTTACACTGTACACCAAAATCAATTTATTAAAATATTTTAATTGATTATTTGTAAAATTTTTATTTGTCTCAAAGAAAATATATAAGACATTAAACCATCAACTTGCTTTAAGGTGTCATATCTGAACATTTTTTTAATATAAATTTTGTTCTAATCGAATTAAGTATTTACTAAATATTATATTATTATTTTCATTGCATATATAATTTTATAATTTTAATTTAGAAATGAGATAAAGATAACAAATTGTTACAACATATATCCTTATTTTCCGTTTAAATATTATTATTTAATTGATTTTAAATTATTTGTTTTCCTTATTATGAAAGTTGATTTTAATTAAAACTTCTAATTCATAGAATATATTATTTTTAAGGATCAAAGGACTTTCAAGTAACCACAACTTATATCTCAAGAAATTGTAAAAATATCAAATTTAATCAACTTTTGTTTTATATTTAAAAATTAATTAAGTTTTAATTATAAAACTTAATTTTGAATGATTATATATTATTTTAAAATAATCAAATTGTCCAACCTGTTCTAAATATTTTAAAAGCCAAGAGATTTTTTTAATCCCATCAACCCGTATTTCTTGAGATTTATGTTATTATTATTATTATATAAATTTTAACAAATGAAATTAAGTTACATAATTTTATTTTAATTTTATAATTATTATTATCCGTGTCAGAAGAAATTTTAGTGTTAATTTAAATTTTCACCTGTGATTTAATCTCTTTTTAGTGGTATGTACACATAAAACAAAATAACTAACATATTTAATGAAATGACAAAAAAAAAATACATACATATATATAGAGAGAGGTAACTTTTATTAAGTATTAAACCGCTCAATAATTTTATATTAAATATAAATTTTGTAAATCCAACCGTTAGATTGAAAGTTCATATCACTTTATATGTGTATATCGAATGTTGTTAAAATTGAACAACAACTTAAAGGTAATTAAAGTGTTTGTATTTTAGTATATTTTGAAATGAATATATTAAGTCAATTTCGTTTTATAATAATGATGTATCAAATCATCTTGGATTAATATAAACTTTTGTATATATGATTTAAGAGTAAAGAACTTTCAATCTAACGGTTAGATTTACAAAATTCATATTTAATATAAAATTATTGAGTAGTGTAATACTTAGTAAAAGTTATACCGGTGTAATTATAATCCCCTCTCCTATATATATATATATAAAGAATTGATTTCACCCTCAAAAAATAATAAAATAAATTATAAAATGAAATCCAAACACATGTAAAATTCACTTGCATTAATTAGTTACAAGTATATGACAATTCAAAAGCATAAAACTCTAAATAAAATTATCCAAAGATGTCAAAGTTTACATAAAAATTCTAAATTTCAATAAAAAGTGTTATCTAGGAATATTATGCATAGCTAGTCATCTATCCATGTAAGTAACATCATTCAGTCTCTTCATCATCATAAGGCTGATCTTCATTATCAAGTCTTTCCTGCATATAAATATATATTTTTCACTTAGAAAACTTATAGAATTAATCCCCAATCAATCTCCAACAATTAACATAACTCCTTTGCTTTGTTTATTCTACCCAATACCTTTTCACGCTTAATTTGAAATCTCCTAAGTAATTCAACACTTGATTTCACTTCACCTTCAAAATTGAAGATATCTTTTTCACGCCTGTCTGTAGTACTCATCTTTTACTTTAAAATTCCTTCCTTCTGCGTTTTGTACCTACAAAATGAAAAATATAATTATTGGATAGTACTGCTTGCTGTAATAGATTACACATTCACTCTTAGACACCAAACAATAACTTCTGCAAAACATGAGTTATAGAGCTTCACATAGCATGGGATCAGATTCATTAGAAAGATAAGACACTAGCCTACTTATGATTAAAATTTTATAATTTTAGAGTTTGACATGTAGTACCAGTTTTTATTTTAAAACAGTTTAGTCCTTGTTGTAACAAATTACACATCCTCTCTTAGACACCAAACAATAACTACTGCATAACTTGAGTTCTAGACCTCTAAATAGCATGGGGTTAATTTTTTTAGAAAGCTAAGACACTAAGCTTCTCATAATTTAAAATTTAGAATTGTATAGTTTGACATGCAGTACCAGTTTTTATTTTAAAATAGGTCAATCCTTGTTGTAACAGAGTACACATCCTCTCTTAGACACTAAACAGTAACTACTGCATATCTTGAGCTTTAGATCTCCAAATAGCATGGGGTTAATTTTGTTAGAAAGCTAAGACACTAATCTTTTCATAATTAAAATTTTAAAATTTTATAGTTTTACATGAAATACCAGTTTTTATATTAAAATAGGTCAATCCTTGCTGTAACAGATTTCACATT